CGGCGAGGAGAGCAGGCAGGCAGGCAGGACGGCCGCGCAAAATGGCGCCGGCGACAGCGACGCGACTGCGGAGGGGAGGGCGGGGCACGCCACTGCGCCTGCGCGCTACCCGCGCGCGCCGCCCCGCACGTGCGCTCCTGCCTCGCGCGGCCCCGCCCAGCTCGGGACGGGCTTCTCCGGAGCATGCGCGGCGGCGGCGGCGCTCCTTCTGGGGCAGGCGGGGTTGCGCCGACCCCGGGGCTAAGATGCTGTGCTTTCGTACGAACGCGGTGAGCTGCGGAGTACACGCAATGCTAAATACCTATCGCTGGTACGAAACAACTGTGGATTCCCCATGGGCATTACAGATTCTTAAGGAAAGTCAGAAACTCTCATCCAATGAGATCCGCCACTCTAACTTGTATAGCTCTATGTGACCGTAGACTGGGGAAAAAGAAAACACCCTCCATTAGCCAAATTTTCTCACTGCGCTTGCGCAATCCAGCGCTCCCTCCCCCCCGCCTTTCGATTCCCATAGACATAAACGTGTAGAAGATTGCCTTATCTGTACGTGGGACTTCTGAGTCCTCTTCCCCACTATGGGTCGGAAGTGACAGCTACATAAACAATGAAAACAAATTCCCATTTAGCCTGTGCTTGGGGATTAGCCGCCCCTCTTTAATGCACCTTATAATTTATGGGGAGGCCTGCAACAAAAAAAGTTGCAGTATAACTGCAACATTTCCTGAACCTTTCTGATTTACCCTACAGCTGCCTGTCAGGAAAGGTTTAAGGCAGAATTCTGGGAGTTGAAGTCCACACATCTTAAAGTTGCCAAGTTTGAAAAACTATGGTTTAAGACAGGCACTTGGGTCTCAAAGAGTTAGCCACAAAATAGCTAGCATCACCACAGAATTTCCAAAACTGGAGGATATATCACAAAAAAGAGATCCCTCTTACCTTACTTATAAGCCAGTGTTTCTCAACCTCGGTAACTTTAAGAGGGGTGGACTTCGACTCCCAGGATTCCCCAGCCAGCCATGGGGCGTCTGGGACTCGAAGTCCACGCCTCTTAAAGGTACCGAGGTTGAGAAACACCTATAAGAAGCAATGCATTAAACCAGAAGAGACAACGCAACTGGTAGGAAGACTGTACAGTTTAATGGATGGTCTAAGCAATAAAGGGACCGGAAAAAGGAGGCTCAGCTCAAAATGCACAACCTGTCTCAGAGACAGAACCCTTGCGTGAAAAATCCAGTCCCAAGCCCTCCATAGTTACACAATGACTTTGTTCTTCCACTCCTTTTTTCAAGCTTCGCACAACTGACAGCCGACTCCACTTTGCTGACACTAAGGCACATACTCTCACACATCCTGAGCGGGTGATGGCAGACTTATTTATGAACAGCCTACGAACACTAACAATTTTTGGTAGAGTAGCAAGTTCTGTTCCTTCCCAACATTTTCTTTTTGATACACGGATGGGAGGACAAAGAACGCTGCACCACATTGCCCTGACCGAACAGAGAAAGCTCCCCCCATTTTTTGGTCCCTCTTCTTTGTGAAACCCCTTTGCAAACTCAGGGGGGGCAGCCTCGTCCATCGCTGCAGACCCGCCTCCTTTGAATTTCTTGCTTCCATGCCTGCACAGAAGGGGAAAGGCACTGGTCCATCAAGCCTAACTTGGGAGCATAAGAAGCAGCAAAGAAAAACATTCATAGAGCTTAGCCTAAAAAATCGTATGTCTAAGCGAGATGATCTGCTCTCCTCCTATGGAAATTAAACAAAAGAAAACAAAAAGCGGACGTGCCTTATTGAAATGTTTGCGGATTGGGGAAGAATCTGCCCAGTGCAATTATCTCCTTTTCTCCTGGCAAGCAAAGCGGATTTGTATGGGCGTGTCTCTGTTTCTCCACACACGTGCACACACACACAGACACACACCCATCCCTGCCTTATTGGGGTCATTCCAGGAGGCCAACGGATAAGATCGCCACACCTTAAGAGAATTTGTGAAACCCCTTTGCAAACTCCAAGCAAGGGGAGCACCAGCAGAAGTCCAAGTCCTACAGATGAGGAGTCGGTCGGCCTGGGACGGCCTTGCCACTTTTCCGTTCTTCCCACAGTGTCACGCCACTGCAGGAACATATTTTCTTGGGGTTCTGGAAGAGGCCGGCTGAGCGAGCAATGATTCCACAGGCCACTCTGCAAAAACCAGGGAGAGACAGGTCAGGTCTCTTTTTTACAAAAGGAAGCTTTATCCAGACAGCCTGTTTAGTATTTGTTTTTCTGCACTAGAGGTGGTTTCCACACCAGCAAAGCCTCAGAAACCACCACAAGCAGAATAAAGCAGCAACCAGAGAGAGAGAACCCAAAACTAATGTCAGACTAAGTCTCAAACAGACTTCCTATGTCCCTGTTCCAGTGTCTTGGCACAAAGTACGTACAATATTCACTTCAAAAGTAGAACGAAAGAGCAAATACGAAATCAGGTGGGCCAAGATTTGCAAGACTGAGGGGTTTAGAGAGAAGCATTTTGAACTGAGATGGGAAGTGACTTATATTTTCCTATGAAAAGCAAGCAGTAGCCAAGCTCGGCAATTCCAAAGGCAGGAATCGGTGCTGCAAGATAGGGTAAGAATGTGTAAGAAATGGAGCATCATTCTGGACTATCCCAGATTGAATCTCTTCCACCCCCAATATTTCCCAGTCAAAAACAGATCAGGTGGCAAGTGATGGGGAACACCATCTGCTACCAGTCAGAATAGACAGTCTGGGGCTAGATACACAAACAGCATCTCCTAATCTATGGCATCTTCCTAGTTCTTCACAGACATCTAGGCAACGTTTTGGCCCCTCAAAAAGGGCCAACCCGGGTTCCTCACCTCTCACCCGAATTTCCAGAGACTTTTGACAGTGGGTGACTCCCGTGGCCCAAGTCATCCTCCCCTTCGTCTATCACCAAGGAGCGACCGATGATATCATCCACCTAAGGAGAGCAGGAAGATAGTGCCATGAATGGAACCAAACCTGCTCCACAACAGTCAAACCGATTGGCAGATGGTGATACTGGCCAGGGAGGCATCTATGCCTCAGCAGTTGTCCGTTATAACACAAACAATATCTCCGTTAGCATTGCCGTTGTCCCAGGAGAAGCTGTCAGAAAGACAAAATGGATGAACAGGGTCCTCTCAAAAGCAGCAGCAAAACTGAGAAGGTTTATGCAATATGGAGCCTGTGGACTCCAAACGTTTCATTTATTGCTGCATTAGAATCATTTCATACCTTTCATCCAGGACCTCAAGGTGACAGATATGCCATTCCCTACTATTTTCCTCCCACCACAGTAATCCAGGGAAGTAGGTTGGGCTGAGAGAGGGGGACTGACCCAAATTCCCCCAGGCAGCTTCCATGGTTCCTACCAAATAGTACTTTTACTTTAAAAGAAAGGGAAAGTTACAGAATGAATAGCTAGAGCAGTGTTTTTCAACCGTGGCAACTTTAAGAGGAGTGGAGGTCAAACATCCAAAAAAACCCCCCCCCCCCCCC